TGAATGAATGGCTGAATGGCTGAATGGCTGAATGAATGAATGGCTGAATGAATGAATGGCTGAATGGCTGAATGACACTTCACCACACCATCCCCCCTGATTTGTATTATTATTTACAATTTGACTACTGGTCATAACATAGTATTCTGCAAAGAACTATAGGGAAATAAGTGAACTATACTGGTATATTTTTTTTGAGTTTTCCAAAAATATAGTGAGAGGCACATTTTCGCATTGAGCCCATGGTGAAAAATAGCTTGACTGCCTTTAAAATGTAGGTGTTAAGAGGCTGATAATTTCAAACACTGCTAGCTGCACCAGGTGGTCCACGCTTCGGCTCTCACGCGACGTCAGGTTTAACTGACACCCATCTCTCAGATCCTCCCAACACCCGTCAAGGCTTCCTGCAACCATCCGGAGCTCCATCCTTCTCTACCACTCGCCCTCCTCTTTTACTACAGAGTTTTTTTATGAATGAGTTCAGCGAACAACCCCCTCCCCCCCAAATACTCCCTCCCTCCCTCCCTTCCTCCAATCTCTTGATCTCCACTCCCAACATTCTCCCTCAGCATGTCTTTCAACAATTTTTCACCATTAATTATGAAATCTCTCTCCACCCGCCTCTCTTTTTGGTCATCTCTGCACACAAACACCATTCATTCAGTGATTCTCTAGTCTGAGGAAGGCAGGATTTCCTCCTGTGGCTTTGACAATGACCTCTTGGTTATCAAAACCATACAACCTAAGAATATCGAGAAACCTTCCTCCAAACAACCAAGCTCAAATTCACACTGCGCAGTACTACAAATGTTGTCCTAAAGGGTTAATACACATTTAAATATGGAACACATCTTAAAGGGATAGCTGACCCCAAAATGAAAATCCTGTCATTTGTGCATGCTCTTGTCATTACAGTCAATTTGTGCTGAATGCATGCACTGATTTATACTATCCGATTAATCGGCTGATATCTAGCCGATCTGAGACAAGACCGATAACTATACCCATTTGGCTGATTTATGAACAGTGCTGGGGAAAGCATTACAATATTGCATTACTCCCTAAAAAAGTAACTAATTACATTACTTAGTTATTTTCTGGAAAGTAACGTGTTACATTCATTTTGCGCTACTTTTTAAATCTGGGCTGGGCTTGCTTGTTTATAATATTAATATTAAATTCATTTTTCTACATTGCTCAAAATATCTTTTGTTTTCAGCAGAACGAAAGTCATACAGGTTTGGAAGGACTATCCCTTTACCACACAGCCATGCTACGCTGACGTTCCCTTCTCAGTTTTACATCCTAACGTGCAGTCAATGAGACTTAAAGACAATGTGTGCTAAGCTCCAACACCCTCCGTTCATCCTCCCAGACAGCCACCAAAGACCTCTTACTTGGAGAGAGACGGAGAGATCACTTGACACTGTGTATGGCTGCCTGCCCGTAAGATGCTCTAATCTCTGTTATACATCACTGCAGAACAAATCGGAGTGATTTTGAGTTTAATAGTCATAGAGGTTTTACTTTCGAGCTTTCTGTCTTCATTTATAAGGTGCAGACAGTAGTCAGAGTTAAAGAGCAGACAAGGAACAAGGACATGCTGAGACCGGACTTGAACCTGTGAGCATGTGTACAACCCACTGAACCACGGTTCAAACATGAAATAACATCGTTTGGGACAGTTTGATCTACAGGAGAGCACCCAAATCTACACACACTAACAATGAAGCAATCATTTTCAATTTGCTTACCATTTCAGGCCAATCTTTGGAAGAAATGTGAAAGAACAGGCCTGCATTTAAAATTTAATACAACCTAATAGAGTAAATAAAGGTGAAGTGGGACCACTTTTAAATTTAAGTTTTGCCTTTAATATTTTGTTCATTTTCCCACTGTACAGTGTAGAATAAAAAAAAAATTGGCATATTTTAAAACAACAACTTATAATATAACAGAGCGCCCACTTTCTGTATTCACCCTATTTAACATTGAAAGGGGAAAACCCCTTAAAATTAAAACCCCATGAACTGACATCCCATACAATGTTCAGAATAATAGTCATTTGTTTATTTGCAGAAATATTAAATAAACAATTAAAGCACACGAATCTCAGCTTTCTGGCCTCTTCAGTTCGGTTTAGTCCAATACATACATTCTACATCTATAAAGACCACCAGAAATGTGGACGTTTCCAAAGAACCAAATAGATTAAATATGGAAATCATTCAAAAATAAAACCACTGGACAATACATGCGTGTTAAATAACTAAATAAAGGTCCCAGTTATAAGCAAAACAAGAGCTTCACAACCTGGTGTCAAATAAAAGAAGCTTTTGCAATTCTAAGAAATTGTCCAAGAACTCCAGAAATAACTAAATACATAAATGAATAAAACCATCTACACACAAACCAACACAGGATCTGAAGATCACCATAAAACCCTATACAGCTTAAAAATGGATGCTAAAAAAAAAAAAAAAAAGAGGTTTCGACTGAAGAATTTGGGTTTTGATTTAGCCTCTATCTAATATTCAGGCGTACACATTTATTTCATAACTGTAAATATTCTGAAGACTTTTGGAAGCAGGTGTCTATGTTGGTTTTTGATATATTTTATAAAGTAATTAAAATAGATGAATCTATGATCCTTTTTTTTTTTTTTTTAACTGTAATACTGGATCAGATGTAGTTGATAACACTTTAAAGGTGATAATTCTTCATGGGAAGTTCCATGTACATAAAGCAAAAATAATGTCTGTTACTCCCTCTTTTAAGTTTTTCTGTAAAGAACTTAAAATATTTGATGACTCATTGATTTCAATCACTAGGAACAAGAAATGTATACAAACGTCTCTCACATTAAAAAATGTTATTTGTAAAATGTAATGTTTTAACCTCCATGATGTATATCTGTTATATGTATTATTGTGTTCTGTTTGACGTTAAGTATCTCTGCATGTTTGTTTTTGAAAGAGAAAAAAAATGCAATTAAAAAAATAATAATATCCAGGCGTTAATGTTCGTGCATTAACACCGAACACTAAATTATAGCTTTATAAAAGGTAGAAAATAATTATACATGCAGCCTACTAATACCGTAAATATTTAATGTAGCATAGTAACCTCGTTTGAGTCGTGAGAGGACTACAGAGGTAGGCCTTACAGGTCCGCTCCATTAAAAGCGACAGCATTCATTTGCTCTCACCTGATGGACGAACACATCCACGGGTGAGTCCAGACAGATGCCCTCCCGGTGGGTCATGGACAGAAAGCCGAAGCCCATCCGCACGTTAAACCATTTGCAGAAGCCACTTCCACGGACCGAGCTCGAGTCTTCCTCGGAGCTCGCGGCTTCCTCCTCCTCGGTCTTTGCACAGCCACCTTGATGAATCACAAAAACGAGAAAATCACAACTAACTTTACAAAAATATCACGCTATCGAAAGTGGACGAAAAAATCAATCTGAGGGCTGTTTCGACATGTAGTGAATTCATCACGCTTGGCGAGAACATGCCAGAAGCTACGTGCAAAACACCAGTGAATGGATTTTCTCTTTGTTCAGCACTTATTTTACACTGTCCAAATGCATACTTTTATAATCCAAAATAAAACGTTTGTTTACATAAAAAAACGCAATTAAACGCACAGTCCGTCCATAGGCTGTTATCAGTTCAACAGGTAACTTGGAAAATGTCTCGGTTCATTTCTTCGCTGATTTTGTAGACAGCAATGAAAGTTGAAACGCTAGAATTCCATTTCCCTCAAGAAATATACATTGAAATGTCTTGCAATCATCAATAAATCAAAATAGGGAATATTGTAGTCAAAGCATGCAGCTACTTTTCCATTATGTGAATCATCAGTGGTATCAAAACGTTGAAAACAGATTATCAAAGGACTTTTTTTTTTAATTAACGCCTCATGCAGTTCTCTTAAAAAGCGCTATTTTAGCATTAAATTACACACAATTAAAAAAAGTTGATTTATCAGTGCGCGCTCAGTAATTAACCAGATAAGCACAAATGCGCACCCGCTCACCTGTGTAATATTGCTCATAAACTGAGCCCATTTCACCCATCTCGCCCATCAACCTCCAAATAAATCCCAAGTAGTACTGAAAGCGCCTCAAACTTCCCTCCGCATTTCAAAACTCTGAGTAAAACGCCAGAAGGAACGAACAAACAAAAGATTCGGGGTACATTTTAGCGGTAACGACGCGACAATTCCAGGGCTTCTGGGAAGAGCTCTTTGTAAAGATCCCCAAATCTGAAAGACAATGCAGGAGATCCGTCCCACCCCCCTCTTCTTTATCCCGCCCCCCTCTCTCTCTCTCTTCACTGACCCCCCACTGGAGGATCACCCACGACCTCACCTTCAGCCATGTCTCCAGGATGTCTTCAACCTCTTCTTGCTTCACACTGCAAAAATAGATCATTGATTGGGGCCCCAAACAGCATAAAACAGTGGCCAGTGTTTATTCCTGAGTGAATCACAGGACTCGGGTCACTGTAGCATCCCCTCAGCTATAGGTCAAGTCTACGTGATGCTCAACTTCACTGAGCTGATGAACTGCACGTTTCTGCGACCATAGGGTCCAAAGTCGCCAATGGGCCAATCGCAGATGGAGAATGTAAGGTTGGGGAATAGGAAGTGCCCTCCCCTCTTAAACCCTGCTGACACACACACACACACACACACACACACACACACACACACAGCGGATAAAAGCAATAAAGGCCTGACCACTTCCTTCACAACAAAACATTGATTTGTTGCAATCTATATTCTACGCATCTAAAAAAACCATGCGTGTTTGAAACGTCATGAATAACATCTTAAATACTGTGTCATTTTAAAATTTTCGCAGGCCTATATGACTATGTTATTTATGATATAGTTCTCACTACAAAGCGATGTCAAAGTATGCTACTGTACATTTTCCCAGTTAGGCCATTTAAGAATGAAAATGTGTGGGGGAAAATCTGAAGGTGGTTATCGATTTTTTTTAAAGACACTCCATCAGAACGCGTTTTTTACCGTAAATAATGTGTAGCCTACTAATTTTCAAAATAGCATGATATTTGCGTGCAACCCAGAGTAGATGCGTTTTAAAGAAGTCGAAGACTCACAAATACAAGTGTAGGCTATTTGCTGGAACCTATCTGTGCGAACTCTTTTTTTTTGTTTTTTGTTTTTATATCAAAAGGCAGGAAATCAACTCATCGGTTAATATGTCTCTATAGCTAATGATGTTAAAAATGCTCAAAGATGACAGCAGTTCTGGTTTGGGCTTCATGAAGCGCACATGTTCGCAGAGTCTTATTGTTCTCACACCTCAAGCAGAAACCAGGAGAACAATGAGACACTGAGCCGTGTAAATGGTATTTAATTGATCTCTGACGCCAGCGCGTAATGAATGTGAATTGCGTCAAGTGCGTCAAACACCATTCACACTCAGCAATTTACAATTACATCAACCTGCAAAACTTCTTGAAGCATGGAGGGAAATATATTTAATAAGAGTAAAAGATTTATTTACTTATTTAAATAACGTGTTTTTTTTTATTTTGCCAATCATTACAATATAACAAAAAGCTTATTTATTTATTTATTTGTTTTTTTTATGCAGGATATATTCATCAAAGATGACAGCAGTTCTGGTTTGGGCTTCATGAAGCGCACATGTCCGCAGAGTCTTATTGTTCTCACACCTCAAGCAGAAACCAGGAGAACAATGAGACACTGAGCCGTGTAAATGGTATTTAATTGATCTCTGACGCCAGCGCGTAATGAATGTGAATTGCGTCAAGTGCGTCAAACACCATTCACACTCAGCAATTTACAATTACATCAACCTGCAAAACTTCTTGAAGCATGGAGGGAAATATATTTAATAAGAGTAAAAGATTTATTTACTTATTTAAATAACGTGTTTTTTTTTTATTTTGCCAATCATTACAATATAACAAAAAGCTTATTTTTTTATTTTTTTATTTTTTTTATGCAGGATATATTCATTTTATTAAATAATTGCATATATTTCACAAACTAAAATATGTAGATGGACTATTTCTATTTGCATTTATCCGTCATTTCTGTGGTTGATATCATAAAGTTCTCACCTGTGCGATTCAGATGCGGATTCGCCGAGGGCATCTTCATGACTTAGAAATCATTTCATTTTCTCTTTGTTGTTCGGTCAACTAAATAATGAGGACTGGTCTCCAGCCTTGCGAGAACCTAAAAGCGTGAGTCCAATATTCCCCTTCTCAAAGGCATTTTATAGTACGCCGAGCATTTGCGAGTGAGTGAGTGAGTGAATGGATGGATGGATGGATGGATGAACGAGGAGCAGTGAGTCAGTCGGGGCTCCTGCTGTGGTTCTGCTCTGGTGACTGTATTGGGGTTGTCATGCGGCCCGTCACCCACAAACACAATTAAACCCGCATCTACTTTCCAATTAAATATGCATGCAGGATTCTTGGATGCCGTTCATCAGCCTCCCAAACGCACTCTCAACAAGAGCACAGGTTGCTGACTCATGTCAGAGGAAACAGCACAGCACCTGTTAGTCGTGTTAGTCATAAAGCTTCAGCTAATTAAACACATCGAACAGAAGCAGAACTCTCTTCATATGATATTTGGGCATGTGCTTCTGGGGGTCACATGACGCACTCGTTAAAAGCCAATCAAAAGTGCAGCTGGAGCTCTGGCTCTGTGTGGAATGTAACACATAGCTTACTGATTATCACGCATTATAAAAAAAAATAAAAATAAATAAGGGGAAAAAAAAGGAAATATATGTGAAACAGGTGCAATATCTAAACATATCAAACAGTGGCATGATACATTGTTGTCACATGATCTTTTAAAGTCATGTTTCCTTCAGCAAATGGTGTCTGGTTATCTCTTTTTTGTGTGTAAAATGCATTAACTTTCTGTCAAAAAATACATAAATAAAATAAGAGAGAAAAACAAAAACAAACACATCTGTTCTTTGGTCACACCAAAAGCTTGAAGGTCAAGAACAATGCATTATGGGATAGAGTATGCCAGTGTGCTTTGGTTGTTTTAGTAAATGTATTAGGTCACTTGAGTATTCACACTCTCAGGAAAAAAAAAATGTACACAATGATCGCTGTCACTGGGTTGGTACCCTTTCAAAAGATATACCTTTGTACCTTACTTACCCCTAAAAAAGTGCATTTTAGTAGCTTAAAGGTACATAATTGTACCTAACGACTACGTACTGTAAATACTACTTTAAAATATGAGCACATTTTCTGATTACCAGTGTACTGGGTATCCCACAATGCAATATGTTAAAAATGACCATACACTGATTTCCAGTGAACCAGAATACCCACAATGTTCATATAAGATGTTTGTAAACAAATTTCTATTCAAATTGTTCTGTGATGATAACTGGATAACTGAAACATGAATAAACTCACATTACAACATAATGCCTGCAATAAGCATTATTCAAATATAATAGAAATATAGTGAAAGCCTAAAATGACATAGTATTATATATATATACTGTATATGTATGTATGTATGTATATGTATGTATGTAAATGTATTGAATTTATAACATACACTGTAAAATTTAACATACACTGTGAATTTAACAGTAAAAGACTGTAAAAATGCTACAGTAAAAACCTGTTAAATGGTTAATGGTAAATTCCCCTACTATATACGGTGAAAAACTCTATTGGACATTAATTTTACGGTAGTATACCATTTTTGGAAGTGAAAAAGACCGTATAATTTACAGTGAATAACCGTAAATTGACATTCCCAGAATTCCCTGCGTTACATTTCAAATTTGATATTTTTTTGTTGAAATAACTATGTTTCTTCTTAGTTTTTTCTTATCAGTTTTGTATATTAGGGTTGTGTGTTACACCTAATGTTGTTAAATGAATGTTTATTGCATTATTTCAGTTTCATGTGTGTTACCATGATGGTGTTTAGTGTTTGTGTGAATGACGCTGTGCACCTTCTATATATGTTATTATTTAAAAGCTGCTTGTGATGGGCTTTGGTTCGTCATGTGACTTTCTCATCACCACCTGCATTTGGTGGTTATCAGCGTATTACAAAGGTACAAAACAGATTTCAGTACTTCAATAGGTTGGTATATTAACATTATATCAGTTAATGAATTTACGGTATTTAACTGTAAATTTAAGTTAAAACCGTAAAACCTAAAACGTCGCTACCATATTTTTAATGGTAAAATTCCGGCAACCACAGCTGCTGGTTTTTTACCGTCAATTTTACAGAATTTTTTTTTACAGTGTACAAATACCCATATTGTCATTCTGCTAATTTTATGTTTGAGATTTATCATATGTAGTCAAAGTATACATGCTATATGTATATTGTTGCATTTCCTAAAGGCAACATACGGCATGCATACAGATGATAAAGCAGCTGGCTGCATTTATGCTTCCCTCAGGAAGATCATGAAGACTGAAGGATTTCTATGGAGATATCCTTAGTAACCAATGGCCTTGGCTTGTTTCTGCCCCAGAGGGGTTTTCTGGAGGTGACCCATGTCAAGCAGAGGTGACTAAGGACAATGGATGCGGCACGTGCTTGAAACACCCTTCAAACTGCCCCTCTTTCTCTCCTCAACACACAGTGAAGATGGATTGTATTTAGTACAATACATATCTAGATGTTTATTTACATTATATGTTCAGAGGTTTTAGTTAAAGGAATAGTTCACCAAAAAAAAAAAAAAAGAAAAATTGCTGAAAATTTGCTCACCCTCAGGTGATGTAGATGAGTTTGTTTCGGAGATTTGGAGAAATGTAGCATTATTTACATCACTTGCTCACCAGTGGGTCTTCTGAGTGAATGGGTGCCACAAGTAATCCACACGAAGCAAAAAGCTGCGTATTTGTAAGAAACAAATCTATCAATAAGGCTATTGAAATTGAAACAGTCTAACTCCACAAGTCCACAATCCATAACAATGCTTCCTCCAGTAAAAAAAAGTCCATCCACTATGGGCCTCTCACTATTCTGGACTGTTTAGGCTTGTAAACTATGCTTGATTTGTGCATATTTCTCTCCTGATTCAGACGAGATGACTTTTTCTCAGGAGAAAGCAATAAAATGGATAGAGGACTCGTATTTTGTTTGAAGTTAAAAACGTCTTAATGATGGATTTGTTTCTTACAAACATGCAGCTTTTCCTTTCACAAGATGTTAATTGTTGGGAGTGCTGTGGATAACTTGTGGATTATTGTGATGTTTTTATCAGCTGTTTGGACTCTCATTCTGATGGCACCCATTCACTGCTGAGCATCCATTGGTGAGCAAGTGATGTAATGCTACATTTCTCCAAATCTGATGAAGAAACAAACTCATCTACATCTTGGATGACCTGAGGGTGAGCACATTTTCAACAAATTTTCATGTCTGGGTGAAGAGCTTCAACAATGTGTTTACAAAACCAGACTATTTCACAATATAAGGACCTTTTTGAAATATTTGAGAAATTAAATGAGATTATGTGCAAGAACATTAAATAAAAAAAAAACAGTTCTTTTTTGTCTAATTGGCAGCATTTGCAATTATATGCATGGAAAGCTT